TAAACCTTCTAGCACACTCCGTTTTCCTGGATCACAAAATTCATGAAAATTTGTAAAATATGTGCCCTCGGGCGTTTTAACCGAAAAGTACCATTTTTACCGAAATTAAACCTCAGTGAACTACATGCCCACAAAGTTTCAATATTATACGTTTGCCTTTTTTTGCTGGTGAAAAATCATGTTTGGAAGAGCCGACCCGCCCAAAAGCAATGCCCGGAGGAGATGCACCATGAAAGCTGAATACTCCCTCAACTCAATAATATCACGTCATTAATACGTGTGCCAAGTTTCACCTTTCCATTTCTGTCCAATTCGCCAGGACAATTTCTTTTTTTCAAACATCGCCCCTCGAGAAATTTTCTCCCCGGGGATGTATCAAGGATCAACATTTCTCTTTAACTCATTATTTTGGTTGTCACATTCATCCAAAGTTCCAGCTTTCCATTTCGATCGGTTTAACTAATGCAAAAAATTATGTGAAAACATCTCCCTTTGAAATTCATGCCCCCAGGGCATTTCATTCCAAAGTCTGAATTTTTCTGCATGCTGCATCCCGGTACCATTAAGTACCACGTTTCATCCTTCACACTAGCTCAATACACCAGGACAAAAAAAAAAATTAAAAACGTCAGCCCCCCAACAATATGCCCCCCAGTACTTGGATCGAATGATTTGCATTTTTCCTGAACTCATCGTTTCGTTAGGCACGTCCATGCCACGTTTTAGCTTTCCATTTCTCTCCGTTTTATTCGAGCAACGGGACATGGAAGGAAAAAAAAAGAAAAACGAAGGCATGGGATTGGTGGGAATTGAACACGGGCCTCCTGATCATCAATCCGATGTGTTACCACTACACCACCGAAACAGGATATGGAAAATACATTCTTCTCCATCATGATATATATTTAAAAAAAAACTTCTCCCCCCAAAATATGTACCCCTAGGGCATGTACGTCCAAAGTCGGATTTTTTCTGAACTCTGCAACCCAAAAGGTACATGTGTACCAAGTTTCAGATTTCTAAACTTTCTGGAACATGGTTAGAATTAGCGTCAGTCAGTCAGTCAGTCACGATCGTCTATATATATTAGATTGATCTAAATGCCTGAGCAGTGAGAAGAGCACTGCTTGTAAAGTTACACATTTACAAACGATTCTCATTACTTTCCGGACACCCGAAGTAATTAGAGATGTCGTTCTTTGCGATCCTGTGAGTCCCGAAAAATTAATTTTTGCGATATTTCTTCGCCTTTTCCCATGGCATATGCATTGAGTGTTTCACTCAGAAAGATACTGTATCCAGTGGCCCAACTGAGACGATATGGATGGTTTGGCGCCTGGCGCTTGAGTAGCCACCGTGATCCTCAGACCAGAATGACAACCTTTTCTTTTCTCCTGTGCATCGTCCTGACAAAGGATGTCCACGCAGCCAAGCCAAAGCCTATCTCCTAACTTCGACAAAGAATAGTATGGACCTGCGAATTTGTCCCTGCTGTCCTATGCGCCAGGGTTTCTCATTTTGTCGTTCAGTCTTGCTTGCTGTAAATTCCTCTTTGCTGCTGATGGAAATGTTCAATAGTTACGTAAAGCCGTTAACGCTATTGGTCTTCCATTGGCATGTCACGCATGCCTACCAATTATGTTACACACATTTTCTTGCAATCATTGTAGATATGAAATAAAAAAATTATATGGTCTAAAATGGGTGTCAAACATAAGGCCCGGATCCGGCCAGCGGAGGTGGTTCATCCGGCCCACCATCCGTGCTTGACAGTCATCACTAATTTCGACGAAAGAAGCATGCGTGCGTCTTGCAGGCATCTACAAGGTAAGTAATCTGGCCCGCCAACCGATTTGACCCCTGGTCTAAATTGAAGCATACATTTTCTACTGCGCACAAATTTTTATTATTTTTTTTTTGGGGGGGGAAGGGTGGGGGAACCTTGTAATATTTGAAATGTTCCCGGGCATTCCCTCTGTAATTAGTCCTTATTGAAGGTGACCAAATTTGCTTATTAAGAAAGCTTTTTGTGGCTGTGGGGATACCATGTGTCAGTTTTCTAGTAACCTAATATACAGGGTGATGCAAAAGTCCTACCCATAGGAATTTCTATCACTGCAACAATTTCTAAAACTGGCTGCCTTTGAGTGCTTCGCAAACATTTATGCGATTACGAGACCTGTCACGCATAAGTGTGAGGGTCTCCCTTGTGATTAATGCAGAAGCTGCACGAATGTTTTCTTTCAACTGGCCAATTCATCAGGGACGTGAGTTGAGTTTTACACATTTCACTTCAGGTGACCGCAAAAGAAAAAGTAGAGTGGTGTAAGGTCTTGGGACCTTCGTGGTCACTCGATTGGTCCTCGTCGGCCAATCCACTTCTAAGGGAAGAGTGTATCCTGCCATTGTTGCACTACCAGGGCGAAGTGGGGCGGTGCCCCATCATGCTGGAAGTAAAGCTTGAGGGGGGACTAAAGATTTTGCTACACCAAAGCCTGGACATATATAATTATAATATGGGGTTATACGGTAGTTCTTGGTGATGAGCTGATACCCGTGTCTTCAGCATCTCACAAATAGAACGTCAAAGGCGAACCTATTTTCGTGAAGTGAACTTCGTCAAGGGAACTAATAAGTTCCCACGTCCCAGTTCACGCCAAAAGATGGCAATACGGAAGCATCAGGAACGGTGCACGTTCTGGATCAGTAGGTGGGAAAGAGTTCAGAATCTGTTCAGAATCAATTTTCTTTTAAACGAAAATAGGCACTCGTCTTTTACGGTTTGGATTCATAACTCCTACTGTATCATGAAATTCAAGGTCTCAACTTCATCTTTACGAATCCGAAATTGTAGAATGCACTCTTAACTGACCCGATTCTCGTTGAGCATGACAATAAGGGATGTCGCAGTACTCCCATTTGATTCTCGGATTCTTCGAGTCTTCCGTATAGCACCAGGGTCCTCCGGGACGTCCTCCGGGGTTCCGACAATAATTGTGTTCTTGATCCACCTCGTCCGAAAATGCAGGGATTCTTCGGTCCCAGCTTCGATATTGGAAACTCACGGGCACATCCAACCACGGCATGCATGAGAAGCCCGAAATGGTCTTCTTCTTTTTACCCACGTATTCTCCCCCCTTTTGCGTTAACTTGCACTCCAATGGAACTAGAAGTAAATATATCATATTATGTCGAGGGTGAAATCCTCTAGCAGGAGATTTTCCCTCCAACAACCAGGACCTACAACGATAAGTACATTGGAAAATGAACTGTTCATCAGGTAATGTGTATTTGATATCTACGAACTCCAGGAACTGTAGTTACAAGAAAATGCCAGGTTGTCAATTGTGATGTAACAAGGGATCGGTACTGTCTATTGCTGAACCTAATTTCTCGGTTAAATAAGTATTGCAGCCTTTGGAGTTTTTATCCCTTGCTTTCTCGTTGATTCAAGTGGCAAGACAGCTCCGATCCAGACAGAAGTTCTGGAAAAACTGACCTCTGGTGTTCTTTTAAACGAAGTACTCAAGTTTCTTTAAAATAAAGACATGAAATACTTATTAAGAGAATAAATTATACAAATTATAGTTAAGTTATTCAACAAGAGTTCTGGGGAAGACAGATGAAGCATATTTTTTTTAGAGGATAACACTAATCAATATGAGAAATAAGTTGGATGAGAGAAGGATTCGAAGAGGCAAACTTCTGACATGAAATTAATATTCTTTACCTAACTCTTTCATCTCTCTCTCGGGCCACACTTCCTATCAAAACCAAGGGCTAATCTGACAGTTGGCGGTTGTCCTGGCGTCACCTTCGGTTCTGGTAAGGTCACATAGGTGCCTTCCAAATTGCGACTGACTCCAGAATCCAAATCTCTTGCCTATATCTTTGGTACCTCTGGAAGGACCAGGGCACCTCCTCAAAATCCAACATCCGGATTGGATGCGAGAAAAGGACAACTTGTCAATCATTGGATAATTTTGAGGTCGGCTTCAGTTTAATTTAAATTAATTAGAATGATTTATCTTAAATTTTATTCAAAGTAATTAGAACCTTTGACTTCTTTTATGTATTTTATTGTTTTAGTTTTATGAGTTTACCTCAGTCGGTCCCAGGGTTGTCCCATCCTTAAAGTGGAGGAAGAGCCGGAAAAGGAAGGACGACTCTGTTCTTCGCACAATGAATTGATCCTTGAAAATTTCCCGATGGGTGCATTTTCGAGGGGAGTGGAAAAAAGAAACAGAAAGGCACAGCGGCAGGCGAATTGTAGGTAGGTTCACAAATTTGATTTGATGCCTGAAGCGATTGGGGTTTGGCCACCATGCCATGGAACAATTAAGCTTGAAATCCGTATTAGACCTGTGAAATACTTGTTAGAGAGACAGCTTCCATCATTACGGAGTCCACCAAATAAGAGACGCTCGGACTGATATTTTTTAGTCGCAGAAAATACAATGTTCTATGATATTCACTTCAAATGCAGGAATTCTATGGCGACAATAGCATATTGCATTCGAGGGGGGATTGGTGACCAGTGATGTTAATACGGGTGTGAAACATCTCGACGGTCAAAGAAATCAGCGTGTGTAAAATTGTTGCCCGCTTCACATACCCGTTTTAACTTGTTAATCACATGAACGTACATTCTAGCAATGCGTTTTTTTTCCCATGGACTGCCTTCATTTTTACACACACAAGGAAGAGATGTATTGATGACTATGAACGTCGATGTGTAAGCCGCGTGAGAAACATTTTAACCTACGTATCCTTTCACAATGCAGAAGTTGTTTTACGTCGTATAAGCCCGCTTCCTCATGCTGTGTTGAGGATAACCATGAACGGCATCGTTCGTGTGGGAACGGAGCAAATGTCTCTCCTGTGACTAAATTTCTCGCTTTCACTTTCGTCCTGGAAAATGTAAATGCTTGGAGGGTCTTATTTATGAGGAAAGACAACCGTTCTCTCGTTTAATTTTTTGATCCGGATGTTCCTTCCTCCTATGGAGAAGCGATCCGATAGGCAAGGAGGGTCATCCGAACCTTACCTCGGTCATCACACATGGGAATGTCACAGTATTCCCACTGTATATCCAAGTCCAATACGAAACACCAAGGCCTTTCCCTCAGGGCGGGATTCCTGCAATAGTTCTCATGAGATCCTGGGTCTTCGTTGAGAAAATGTTCACCATAGAACATCATGGATTCGAAATCATCAGGTTTCCCATATGGTTTGGAATCCCATCGAAGGCAGTCCTTTCCCGTCTTTGTCTTATTCTTGATTCCCATGTACTCCTTCCCTTTCTCCGTCTTCAGGCATTCCGGATACTCTGGCCGATCTGGGGTAAATATGTTCAATATTGGTTAGGCATGAAAGGCAGCCCTTTCTTCTCGTGAGGTTGTGGCGAAAGTTTCTTGCACTATTGGTTAGATTCGTCTCTGTATGCGTATGCGTGAGAAAAAGAGGGAGAGAGTGCTTGTGTGGCAACGATAGAGTCTGTTAGCCGAAGCATTGGAAGTAGGAATCGACATCACTTTTACCTCTGTAACTTCTATTCCAAAACAAATGGACCATGATACAAAATATATAACATTTTTATGTACCGTGCGACCTAAAGTTGTAAGGTCCGATCCTCCGTGCATTTTCATGAGAACATGGGGTAGTAATTCCGAAAAGCATTTTGAAGAGATTCATTGTAAATGAAGAGATGAGGCAATCGGTTAAGGATATGATCATCCGAGTTCTGGTAGTTATGAGGATAAATTACAATCCATGCCTGGTATTAATTATTCAGTGGTAGATGAGGGATACATTTTTTTAATGTGAATCCTGTGTCGAACGATATTCCGCCACAAATGTGCGTGCCTGATTAAAAACTGCATTACCAACTAAAGATGAATGCAATAAATACTAAATTAACTCACTTTTGTACCTTGCTGCACACAAGTCGCAAGACTGGTCCAACGACACATACACCATTGAGAGCCCATTACTCCACGAACACATTCGTTCAAAAGAAGAGCCAATAGTTATTGGAAGCTAAGAAGCAAGGTTATCTTCTCTCCAAACAGGATTCAGATTCATTGCATATGCATGAAATTGTTAGTTTACAAGCACTAAAAGCAGAAACATTGGGCAAGTTTTGCCGGTCACTGTATATTAGATGCAAATTGTAAGGGCTCAGAACCTCAAGGAACCATTAACACACTTGTCCCAATGCTTCATAAGGAGGGAGAGGAACGTATATCAGGAGGTGAAAGGTGAGGCAATGAGAGGTGGCCGATGCAATAATGATATGTTCCTGGTTCTGACCTCTGAATTATTACACACTGTATCGAGCTTTCGGCAAAGTAGTACTTTCACGTGTTTCGTTTGGCTCTTTGCCGTTGCTTTGGCTTCGGTTTTAACTTTTGTGGCATGTGGGAGTAATAGAAAGGAATTGATGAGGAAATGGAATTCGTAACTAACCTGGTTTTTCACATCGAACCTCAGTGCGCCGAAAAGAGGTGCACCAAGTGTCAGGGGAGGCAGAACAGGTGGCACGGTGCTCCGTCTTCCCATCTGTAAATCCTTGCTCGCAAGTGAAGACTACCTGGGCCCCACTTGGTGCCGGGTACTCCCCATCCCATCTGTCGTATGACACATTCACGTTCTCCAACATTGGATACTCCGTCAAGCAGAATTCTGTGGATTCCATCAGACAACTGCATATTTAAATATTTCCTGAGATAATCTAGCATAATTAAGAATTTCTTTCTTTGTAATGAATGTCTTCGGATGCTTAATTGATTAAATGCCATGTCTCTCCATATTTACTATGTCAAATGAAAGAGCTTGCTAATTGAACTCGTACTATTTCCAGCCACTTTTCAGCTGCTGAAGTCGAAATTTCTATTGAGATGTACTCAGTCAACGACTAACCATATTTCTAAGATGTTATGGTTTCTTCTGAATGAGGGGCAGATAGGAGCAGCATGCAGGGGTACGCATGATTAATCCAGTCAAGCAGATATATTCTGAATAAGTTTTACACTGGAGGAATGGTATTGTAATGCCTGGACATTTGTAAACATTTTGAGAAGTGCCCACAGTGAATGTTTACCCCTCCCCGACGCGACACTTGAACGGCTTGGTGACGTCAAGATAGTAGCCAGGGCTAGGGGGTGTGTCGGTGTGGTTCCGGTCTTCTCCTGGCTGGCGGTTCGTTCTGTGTCTCTTGGCGGTGCCCTATCCGTCTTCTTTTTTGCCTGGACTACTGCGTCTCGTCCCTGCTTCTTCCCAGTTTCCCATGGTAAAGTAAGACGTTTTAAAAGTGAATGAGTACTTCTGCCAAGGGGCTACCCCATCTGATCCGGCACCGACAAACTGGACATCCTATAGGTCAGGGGTGGCCAATGTGCGGCTCGCGAGCGGCATGCAGCAAGCGAAGTGCCTTAGAAAACATCCACTCTAGCCACCCTTGCCATAGGCCCACAATCGCATTCGCCTAACTTCGCTCCGCCTTGTGCCCCCCCCCTTGAGATTCATTTCATACAGTGCCCGTTCACGGCCTAGCGCCTATTCGCGGAGAATCCATGCTCATGGCCAAGCCCGTTTGTAGCCTAAGGCCTATTGATGGGCAATCGGGTCTGGGGCAGACCATTGTCGTTCCTCTTTGTGATTAGCCTGGGCCTGGTGTTCTTTTGTCTTTCACTTATTTTTTAAATTTATATTTGATTAGTTCTTTCAATTTCAAGTTGAATAGATTAAAGTGCAGCTCCCAACTGACCACATATTCAGCAACCCACAGTGCTAGGCAAAGTGTCATCTTGACCCTATCACTAGTGTGACAAGCAATGCAGTCGTTGGACTAGCATATGCATAACACGATCTGGGAATTTTCATTCACTTCACCTTTTTCAAAGTTTTTTGAGACGAGAGGTATTTAATACGTTTCGGCAACTGCCCTTTTTCCCTAAAGTTTACAGTATGAAGAAGGAAGTCCATTCCTTCACGTCCCTTTTGCGACTCTACAAGAAGTATCATTGGTAATGTAATAATTTGCTCATAGCAATGCAGCGAAGAGAGGCTCTTGGGTGAAAGTAGCTCGAAAGGATGCAAGGTATGCGGTTTTGTGGCGTTTGCATGTGATCATAATTTTCGAAGCAAAACATGGGATTCAAAAGTGAAATGATCGGGAATTTTTTAAATAAAAAATTATGTATGTTCTGGTTTGGAAACTGACTCTGTGCAAAAGCTTGAAATCCTTCAGAGTGGAGGAGCGAGCTCTTCTGGTGTAGGATCAGCTGGCAAACTCCGTCAGAAGGTCGATAGTTGTAAGCGTTGCACGATTTCAGCGGCTGACTCACACATATTAGGTTGCAATCCCTTCTATGTCGAGCTTGCACTTCCCGAGAAACATTCCCATACCTTTGACCGGGATGAACAGAGTAATAGGCGAGGAAGCCGAAGACTGTCTTAAATAAAATGATGAAGACGAGAACCACGTGGGATCTGCCACGCTGGGCCATCTTGGGAGACTGGAGGTTTCTCAGTCTCTCTCTTCCCGTTATGCAGCTCTTAAGACTGACGTTAGAGGTCACGTGATCGAGATCAACGAATCGGGACGACATCTGCGGCGAAAGAAATCTATAACGATCCTTCTATACATGGAGTCCAGGGGAAAAACATCCGTTTCTTTCCCTGACCTTGTTGAGTAGCGTATGTAACCGTGGACGTCAAGCGTACCCTGGCGTAAGACAGATTGGGGAAATCCATTGGGGAAATCCATTGGGGAAATCCATTGAAATATATTGTCAAGAAATTCCAGAACTTTACACGGAAATTGACGTGGGTTCCATTGATATTTAATCTTCTTCAATGTACAATACAAATACGAGGACATAGCCTTCCTCATCTGCATATTCCGAGCACTCGTCACCAAAACTGCATTTACATGAACTAAGCGTTCACATAAACGTCAGTGCAATGAGCTGCTTTGTTTCTGGCTGTATTTTCTATACACGCTCTTGATTTTCCTAGAGTTTCGCATTTTATTTTGAACATAATGAACGTGTCTGCACCATTAGAATTTTCACAACTGTAGGCGAGTTACCCTTTGGAGTCTCAGGCCTTCGTTTCCATTGGCAAAGACCTTAAATGTGACGTTATAATTCACATACAATACATATGATCGGGGGAAAGGTGGGGTGGGGGGGAAGTCCAAAGAGCGGACATTCAACACATGATGGGTGACGAAGAATGAAGAACGTCTGCATATTTCCCCATGATCTATGCATGGGTTTGTGAAGTTTAAACCTTCGTTTCATTTCCCTTCCGTACACGATGAATGAACTCATCGTGAACCTTGGGTTACTAGAAAGCTTGAGGTGTGAAAGGAAGTTTGTCCTGGAAGGATGCTTCTACCGATGCTGCTGGAATCACAAGGTTAGGAACTATTTGCTAGTTACCATCGCTGCCAGCAGTTGAGCTAGGTGAACACCTGAGATTGCTCTGCGTACCCTTCCATCTGGTTGAGTTCAGCAACTCAGCCCGCCGATTCAGTCACTATTGAGGGACGGATGGTTCCTATGTGGTGCAATTCAAGGATGCCTCATCTTTGAATCATTTACTGCTAGTCTCAGATTCCCAGCAGTCTAATTCCATTGAAATTGTTACAAATCCTGATGAACAACTGGGTCCCTCCGTACCTTTCACTTGTGCCAGCATAGAAATAAGTTACATTCTCTTCCTTATGCTGGCTGTAGTGTCCGCCACTTGTTTAGGCCTTTACTCTAGTGTCTATTGAACAAACACAGGTACCACTCTGCGTTTTCTCTTACTTGTGCATTGTTCCCGTCGTATTTGGAGTATGCTTGGTCTAGTTTACTCGCCTCTCGATGTGTTGACATCCCAAAAAGGTCATTATTGTAAAAACAAAGGGAATTTCGGCTTGAAAGTGGAAACGATGCATATTATGATCTCATGAAGACATGTTGTTCTAAGAAAGCTCTAGAATCCCACTGTGCGAGAAAAATACGCAAAAGCATATTTCATCGTTCAGTAACTTTCATTTCCTTTCTGCTGGAGGAATCAATTATTCCGTTTGAGAAGGGAATTTTTTGTGTCTTGTCGTGAAATGCATAGGGAACTAAGATTCCTTCATTGCATTTCTCACTCGGAGGTGTCCTCTGTTTCTCTGCTTCCTCTTACAATATATAGGGTGGTTCAAAAAACGCTCTACTGTTTTCTATGGGAGAAACACCGTTTCATAAATATAGCAAAAAAAATTACATTGAATACTCGATCGATTGTTTACAGCTTTCTTTCAGCACCCCTACCTAAGTCGTGCAATATCCA